CTGAGTTCAATCCCCTGTACTGCAAAAAAAAAAAAAAAAAAAAAAAAAAAAAGTGCTGATAATAAATGTATAATCCTTTTGTTGACATTTTTCACAAGGTCCCATAAAAGGTTGAATTAAGGATACAAGACCTTCATTTTAGAGTTAGTTCTGTCACCGAGTGTACTTTGTACAGTTTTGGAAAAGCACTTTTGCATTTGAAACAGTGCTGTTGCCTTCTGTCCTCTCGTTAATGCTTCCTTTCAACACTATCAGAAATACGGGGGGCCGGGGACATGGCTCAGCAGAATAAGTGCTTTCCTGGCAAGCGCAAGGGCCGGAGTTCAATCCCCGGTTCTGAAAAAAAAACAAAAAAACCAAAACCAAACCAAAACCAAAACCAAAACAAAAACAAAAACAAAACAAAACAAAAAAACCCCGGCAGATTTCCTTAGGGTACTTTAAGATGCTCATTTGGCTGTGCAGCGACACCAAGTGGCCGGGTGAGGAATTGTCATATATAAAGTTAGAATTGTACCAAATTAAAATAAAAAATTCACAGAGCCGGCTAGACACCACTTTTGGTACTAATGTCTGTTTAGATTTCTGAGAATTAAAAGGAAACATCAACAGATCTGGGTCCAATTTGCCTTTTTTTATGAGTTTAGGACAGGATGTACAGGGTGCACAGGGTCTCACTACGTAGATCAGATTCATAGTGATCCTCCTGTTTTTGGCCTCCCAAGAGCTGGGATTACAGGCACGCGCCACCACGTCCAGTCTCCATGGCGTTTCAGTGCACCCAGGGGGCGGGGCCGGCATGGCATACTGGGGACCGAACCCCAGCCGCTGTGCTCTGCTGAAGCAGGCGCTTTAGTCCACTGAGCTATCTGGCTGGCCCTCCAATTTACCTTTTAAATAGCTATTTTCCCCACCATAAGGAACCGGGGCTTGTTACGGAAATGGTTGAATCCAGCCCTAGTGCAAGAACTAGTTGAGATATGCTTGCAAGCTAAGCAGCTACGCAGAAGTCAGGTCAAAGACACTAAGACACTAGCCTGAGGAGGCTCCCTGCGGCCAAGCGTGGGACAACCCAAGCACTAATAAGAGTAAAAATCGTGAAGAATGGGAAACACATCAAGAAAACTTAAATTCATGTTTCTGTTGACACTAAAAAAGTGAAGTCTGTTCACTCTGAATAGACTTGGGTCACTGCCTTCTCCCCAATTGTTCTGGAGGATGTGAATAAATGATTGTTCTGAAAACTGGTAAGAAAAAGGGATGGCATTAGCACATAACCTGCTTTCCCCTAATTTTTTCTTTTAAAAATTTATTTATTTGGTACAGGGTCTTGCAATGCAGCTCGGACTCATAGTGATCCTCCTGTTTCAGCCTCCCCAGCCCTGGGATTACAGGTGTGCACCACCATGCCCAGTTTTGGTGGCTGGCACAGTGTGGGGCTGGCACAGCATGTGGTACCAGGGATTGAACCCAGGTCCTTGCGCTTGCCAGACAGGCGCTTAGGCTGCTGAACTATCACCCCAGCTCCTCATCTCTCTTTTCTTTTTCTTTCTTTCTTTTGCAGTGCTGTGGCTTGAACTCAAGGCCTTCACACTGAGCTACACTTCCACTCTTGTAAAAATTAAAAAAAATTTTTTTTTGAGATCAAGTCCTACTAATTCACTGAACTGCTAAATTTGGGCTTAGAACTATAATCCCTCTGCCTCAGTCCCTCAGCCTGCTGGGATTACAGGTGTGCGCCAGCATTTCTTGTTTTAAGTCTGACTCTGCTACCAAACAGGAGATAAGGGAAATCTCTCTTTACTGAATTATTCCTGCTGATAAGTGAAGGTGGAAACAGAGAGAACACTGCTATCTTACATGCTCTAAAGGGACAAGCCATCAGGAAGTGACAATGTCTAGTTATTCAGACCACAAGAATAGACACAACCAGATACTAGGATCCTGGATAGGCTACGCACTGCCACCTAGGAAATGTCATGTATTTATTTATTTACATTTTTGTGGTACCAGGGATTGAACTCAGGACTTTGTGCTTGCCAGACAGGCGCTTATTCTACTGAGCTATCTCCCTGGCCCCCTTAGGGAATATTCTTATTTCAAACTCTAAAACCTGAATCGGCCATGTCCATGGTTCTAAGAACTAATTTACAGGGAGTAGAGGGGGATGTTCTAAAGGCCATGCCACCAAGGTAGTCAGCAAAACCTAGGCTGTGGGGAACAGAAGGACAAAAGGCACATGCACTACAAGGAAACACAAACCAGCACTGGGGTGAGAGAGGTAGAGATGACCAAAGCTTAAAATCCGAAGGACCAATTGCAATGGCTGAATCAGATATCTGGATCCAGATTCAAACAAACAAACTGAGGTAACAGAAGAAACCCGAGCCCCAGGTATTTTATATTCCCATAGCAAGTTACCGCTAAAATTGTAGGAGTAGTTCATTATTGTGATTATACTTAAAAATATTTTTCCATCATGACAATAAAATATGAACAAAATTAACACGCTGTCTGGAATTCGCCTAAAAGGAAGCTAGGGCGGTGGTACATCAACACAGGACACAAAACTGTCCCCGAGTTGGTCAAGGATCAGTGATGGGTGATGAGGATACGTGGTTTCATTATCTTAGGCAATCTTTTTACAGGTTGAAAGTTTCCACACAATAAGTTAAAGCCAAAAGAAAACAACGGTAAGAGCGCATGACTCTGGGTCTGGCCGGACAAATGATGAGAGGCCAGGCCATGGGTGAGACTCGTGTGTGAGCTGGTGTAGTAGCATGGGGCTCACTCATTATGAGACAAGAAGGGACAGAGAGAACGAGTAAGTACTCACATTCACTACAGGCCAGAAACATTAATTTATAAATAATATGGTAGTAGATACTAAATATTATTATAATAATGTTATTGTTATGCTTTAACAGTATATGCAGTAGGTTATGTTTTCAGTGCTTTATGCAGGGGACAGCTAATTTTTTTTTTTTTTTTTTTTTTTGAGGAACTGGGGATTGAACTCAGGCCCTTGTGCTTGCCAGGCAAGCACTTATTTTATTGAGCTATCTCCCTGGCCCCCAGCTAAATCTTAAAGAAGCTTGGTTTCCAGGCATGGGGGTGCACACCTGCAATCTCAGCACTCGGGAGGCAGAGGCAGGAGGATCACCATAAGTTCAAGGCCAGTTTGGACTACTTAGTGAGCTCAAGGCCAGCCTGAACTATACAGAGAGACTCTGTCTTGAAAACAAAACAACCCAACCCAACCCAACCTGAAAGAGGCTCAGCAGGCATCATCATCCTGGTTCTCAAAAGTAGAGCTGGGGAACTGCACGCAAAATACTCACTGATGGCACCAGGTTGCTTCTCAAAGTACAGGATGAATAATGGAAGAATCAGAGCAGAAATGAAGGTGAGGTAGGCAGCAGTCCAAGATGTAAGATTCACGGAGGCACTCACCTTCAGGGCCTGCCCTGCTGGCTGATGAGAGGACTACTTCCTTCAGCTTTCACTCCCAGGTGCCTCAGTTCCCTGCCCTAGCCCCTGCCCTCTTTTCTGCAGCCTCTCTGCACTTAAGGCTGGGAACTCTGAGTGAGGAGTAGAAAGAAGGGTAGGAGTTGCTGGCTCCAACGTCAGTGGCACACCTCAATGACATTCCCTATCCGCTAGGGGGCTCTGGGGTCACCTAGCCTAAGAATGCTGGCAAGCTCACACTCTAGAGAACAGAGGCAGGAGGGCACGTGACCTTCTGTGCAGGAGCAGAGTGGGAGCAGGGAAGCCAGTGACCAAATTTGGAGGGTCCCTACAAGGGGACCAAAACAATGTCCAGTACAAAATTATTCATGCAGTTTCATTTTATGAGGTTTTTCAAGAGTAGAACCAAAACCCAACCTACTGTTAAGACCGCTGAACATCCCAGTCTTCCCCTAATCTTCCTTCCATTGCCTAGCACCCAGTAGGACTTTAACAAACAGGGAGTCATTAATTGTCTAGAAGAGACTCGGCATCTGAGGGGCAGACTGGGGCCCCAACAATAAAACCGTGCAACAGGGCTGGGTGGCTCAGTGGTACAGCGTGCCTAGCAAGCACGAGGCCCTGGGTTCAATCACAAGTGCAAACAAACCAAACACACACACACACGTGCACACATGCACACACCCCACACAACAACTTGCACTGGCCACTGCAGTCAAGGGAACATGACTCTAAATGAGGGCCTACACAGAGGGCCAGAATGGCAGTAGGGTGGATGTGTGCTCCGTCTTAAGGACCAGAGACCCTGAACAACTCCAGAGTGGGCAGCCCAGCTCTGGCAAATGCCCATATCTTTCTAGAACTCCAAGGGCGCATGATGTGCAAATCAGGGATCTCCCAATGCTTTCTGCTTCCATGTGTTCGGGACACCACACGACAGCTTGGCTTAGCTATTCTTGGCGTCTCCCAGCATCCTGTCTGGTATAAGGAAGGCAAGGATTCACCCAAAGCTTAAGCAGAGCTGCTTCTCTTTCTATTCATCGATTAGGCAACTGGCTGAAGCATTTATTCAGATACAGTGCAAAGATTTTTGCACTGCACCTTGAAGAGATTAACATACGTAATTGTCAGGGCTCAGTGTTTCTTTCTTTCTTTTTCTTTCTTTTTTTTTTTTTTAAATGTGTTTAGGACAGGGTATCTCACTACACTGATTGGACTCATAGTGATCCTCCTGTTTTCAGCCTCCCAAGCTCTGGGATTACAGGAGTGCGCCACCAGGCCTAGTCTCAATCGCCATGTCAGTGCACCCGGGGTCAGGGCTGGCACAGCATGCTGGGGATTGAGCCCTGGCTGCTGCGCTCTGCCTAAGCAGGCGCTTTAGTCTGTAGAGCTCTCTGGCCCGGCTCTAGAGCTCAGTATTTCTTACTTGAGTTAATTCAGCAGCGATAAAAATCCAACACATGAGCGTGATTCAAGGAGTGGCTCTGGGAAGCAAGGGCTGCCTACGGGCACCTGAGCAATGGTCTCCTTACGTGGAGTAGACGGTGATGCTCTCCCGCTCCTCAATCTTGATGCTTTCATCACTGGGAACGGGTGGGTTGCTCTGAAATTGGTTCGGAATCCGGAACCAGACTTTCAATTTCTTCTGCAGGGAGCCATCTTCATTGGGGAACACGGCGAAGGAAATAGGGACTGTCATTCCCATGCCGATTCCTGGCAATGTGAAAACACAGACCGTTGTGGGCATCGGGGGCCAGCTTGCTCCAGGTCCGAGTGTACTGGCCTCATTCTCCTGCCACGGCCACAAGTTTTTCTCTGTTCTTAATGGAGTGAATGAACTTTCAGACACTAACAATATAGGTAAGCTGGGTGTGAGGGCAGCTTTCTGGGAGGTTGAGGAGGAAGAGTAGGTTAGAACCCAGCCTGGGCAACTTGGGGATTTAGAGATACCTCGTCTCAAGAAAATAAAAGTCTGGCAATACAGCTTGGTGCAAAGGCCCTGGCTTTGATCTCTAGTACCACAAAATCAATCAATCAACCTATCTATCAATCAATCTATCAATCTATCTATCTCTCTACCAATAGAGACTGAGATATAGTTAGGCATATATAAACACCTCTTATTTTTTTATATTGGAGGCCAGGGTGGTACAATTCCTGAAAAAATTATTTGCCAATACACATCAAGAATTAGATATCAGGAGACTGGGCATGGTAGCACGTGCCTGTAATCCCAGCTCTTGGGAGACTGTAAACAGGTGGATCACTACAAGTCTGATTTACTAGTGAGATCCTGAACACCCTGTAGCCCCTTCCCTAAAATACAAAAAGAAAGAAAAAAAGAAAAGAATTAGATATCAGTATCTAATGACTTCCTACGTAAATATAAATTTTATTCAATTTTAAGGAATACACAATATAGAAGAGGCTATAGGTAACAGGTCAGCCACCACAGCAAAATTTATTATTTTGTTCAAAACTGAAGCTGGATTCCGATTTGATTTGAAACTGTCTCATTGCTATCTGTTTATCAATAAAATTTTGAAAAAAAAAAACCAAAAACAACTGAAGCTGGAGACACAGGAATGGGGTTCGATCTCCTGCGTGCTCTGCTGGCCCTGCCCCTGGGGCGCACCGAGATCGAGACTGAGACTGGGCACGGTGGTGCACGCCTGTAATTCCAGCGCTGAGGAGGCTGGAAACAAGAGGATAACTATGGGTCCAATCTGTGTAGTGAGACCCTGTACCAAATATATATAAAAAATAAAAATAAAAAATAAAAAATAAAGCTGGGCATTGTGGCACACATCTGTAATCCCAGCACTCAGGAGGCTGAGGCAGGAGGACTGCTGCAAGTTCGAGACCATCCTGGGCTACAAGGTGAGCTCAAGCTCAGCCTGAACTGTATAGTGAGGCCCTGTCTCAAAAAGACCAAAGCCAAACCAAACCAAACAAACCCTGAACTATATCTGAAGAAATTATGGGCACATTCCTAAGACTACTTAGTATTAGTAGAAGTTAATTAGTAAAAACTGAAATAACTAAAATAACATTTAAAAACTCTAAAATAAGTACCTGTCTGGCAAGGGCATGGTCCAGAGTTCGATCCCCACTACCACAGAAAAAATATAAAACAAAAACACCCTAAAATATATTCAAAAGACAACAATGACTACATTTAAAATTGTTTAGCAATAGCTATTTTGTTGCTTTCAAAATTTCCTTTAGTATAATAATTTTTATACCTGGTTTCACCTGAAAAGATGTTTTCAACAGCATTAAGAGGAAAAGATTTCTTCACTTCCTGCTGGTCAATTTATTTTCCAAAGTGTGATTACTTTGCTCCTAGAACATGTTACTATTCTTCATACCAGTTTCTTTCTAAATTATCAGCTTAAGAAATATCCTAAAGATTAAGCCCATCTCTTCTTTTTCTTCTAGCTTTCTGACCCATATTCAATTTGCAGTGATTCCAAATACTCCATAAACCTGAGAGTTCCTTCAGAGGCCAGCATCTAAAAATTTGGTTTCGGGGCCAGGGACATGGCTCGGTAAAAGAAGTGCTTCTCTGGCAAGCACAAGGACCTGAGTTCAATCCCCAATTCCACCAAAACACAACAAAACAAAACAGCTCTTTCCAGGCGTCCTCGTGAGAGTGACATCGTCTTTAAACCCTCCGTGGCAATCCCTGACACACTGCCGTGATACCCGGGGAAGACAGGGCGACCTGGAAATCTAACTACTTCCTAAAGATCATCCAACTTTTGGATGATTATCCAAAATGCTTCATTGTGGGAGCAGACAATGTGGGCTCCAAGCAGATGCAGCAGATCCGAATGTCCCTCCGAGGGAAGGCCGTGGTGCTAATGGGCAAGAATACTATGATGCACAAGGCCATCCGAGGACATCTGGAAAACAACCCGGCTCTGGAGAAACTGTTGCCTCATATCTGGGGGAATGTGGGCTTTGTGTTCACCAAGGAGGACCTCACTGAGATCAGGGATATGCTGCTGGCCAATAAGGTGCCTGCTGCTGCCCGTACAGGTGCCATTGCCCCATGTGAAGTCACCGTGCCTGCCCAGAACACTGGTCTGGGGCCTGAGAAGACCTCTTTCTTCCAGGCTCTGGGCATCACCACTAAAATCTCCACGGGCACCATTGAAATCCCTAGTGATGTACAGCTAATTAAAACTGGGGACAAAGTGGGAGCCAGCGAGGCAACCCTCCTGAACATGTTGAACATCTCCCCATTCTCTTTTGGGCTGATCATTCAGCAAGTGTTTGACAATGGAAGTATCTACAACCTAGAAGTCCTTGACATTACAGAGGAAACTGCATTCTCGCTTTCTGGAGGGATCCGCAGTGTTGGCAGTGTCTGTCTGCAGACTGGTTACCCAGCTGTTGCATCAGTGCCCCATTCTATCATCAATGGGTACAAGCGGGTCCTGGCTTTGTCTGTGGAGAGTGATTACACCTTCCTACTTGCTGAAATGGTCAAGGCCTTCTTAGCTGATCCATCTGCATTTGTGGCTGCTGCCCCTGTCGTTGCAGCCACCACTGCTGTTCCTGCTGCTGCAGCTGCCTCAGCTAAGGTGGAAACCAAGGAAGAGTCTGAGGAGTCAGATGAGGATATGGGATTTGGTCTCTTTGACTGATCATCAAAAAGCAAACTATTCAGCCTGCCTAACTGGCAAAACAAGGAATAAAGGCATATTGATTGTCTTTCAAAACAAAACAAAACAAAACAAAACAAAACAAAACAAAACAAAACAAAACAAAATTTGCTTTCTACTCAGCAGGTACATGAACCTCAGGTCAGTTATGTTAAGGAGGGGAAGCAGTCAGCTCGGACAAGTCTTTGGGTATGTGGGGCCTGAGAGTCCTCAGACCCTTCATTTGCCAGGACAGGGATCTTGCCCAAGTGCATCCTGGTGGCTGAGGTCTGAAGTCAGACATCGGCCTTGCCTTACACTGGGGTTCAGCTTATTAGGGTTCAGACTTCATCCCATTAACCCAAACCAAAATCAACAAGCTGGGTGTGGGACTCAGGCCTGTAATCCTACCATTGCTGGGTGGCTGAGTCAGGAAGAGCACAAGTTCAAGCCTAGTCTGGGTACCTTAGTGAGAACCTTGTCTTACACAGAAAAGGAAAAATATACTTATGTGGACAGCAGATGGCTCGATACTTGGGAAGGAACCGTGAACTGAGTGACACAGACAGACCCCTTAAAGCGAGGGGAGGCTGGGCTGGCTTCAGAGTGGTCCTTCCAGTGCCTCCTGTGATGAACCCCCTTGAACTCATGTACCATAAGTCAGGTGACGTTAAGCAGGAAGTCACAGGGGCCTTTCAGCCCCTCCCCTGTATCTCCTACAGGTCAAGTGTGGCCTGCAAAGCTGCCCCATTGGACCAGGGCTTGTCCCTCAGGGGTACTCACCCTTGTCATTGGTGCCCCCCACGTACTTCATGACCTTTGGCATTGCCTCCCGGAGAGCCTCATCCACGGGCTTATCTGTCACTTCCACAGTGGCAAACTTCCCTCCTTCACAGGCTCTTTCCTCGTAGGAGACGTCTTCCTAGAGGCACAGGAGACACAGGCTTGAGACCTACAGAGTAGCAACCTGTGTCGTCCCTAGAAGTAACAATGGGGGCCGGGGAGATGGCTCAGTAGAATAAGCACTTGCCTGGCAAGCCTAAGCGTCTGAGTTCAATCCCTGGTTCTGCCAAAAAAAAAAAAAAAAAAAAAAAAAAAAAAAAAGCAAAGCCTAGAAGTAACAATGGCCCCGCTGTAGGAAGTACACACTACGAAAGAACTTTCCACAATAGCTGTGGCAACAGCACACGCACAGGCTGAGTGACAAGGCCCTTGAGACACAGATTCCAGGAGTCTTATACACTGGGAAACATCAGAAGCTGAAAAAAACTTACAATAAATAATTTTCAGAGGGAGGTAAGATACTGCACCTGCAAACCTTGGAATGTTCTAAAATGAAACATGCAGAGATCAAAACAGCTCTTCGAAATAAAAACGTTCTAATGACAGAAATGAAAAGTGGTACAGGAAGGTTGGAAGATAAAGTTGCAAGAAATCTACCAAGTCAAGTCAAGAAATATTTGTTCTAATGGTGTTTGTAAATAGGATCTCAAGTCCGCATCTTGTACAGCAATTAACCACTAAGAAGAATATATGCAGTGTATTATTTGTTGAAACTGTACTTCCGATTTGATTTGAAACTGTCTCATTGCTATATGTTTATCAATAAAATTAAAAAAAAAAAAGAAAGAAAAAGAAAAAAAAAGTCAAGAAATAAAAAGTGGAAAAGACATTAGAGATTGCGGCCCAAAGATCCATCAGCTGAATAAAAGGGGAGCTAGGAAAAAAAGGAAGAGGAAGAGGAAGAGGGAGAAGAGGAGGTAGAGGAGGAGGAGATGGAGAAGAGGGAGAGGAGGAGGAAGAAGAGCAGAAGGAGGAAGAAGTCAGAAGGGAGGAAAGAAAGAAATACAAAGTAACAACAGCCACACCACTCAGAGGCCTCAAGAGGAGTTTCATACTAGCACCAGGGTTGCGAAGGGGCCTCTTTCCTAACTTTTTGTTTGGGTGCTGGGGATTGAACTAGCTTCATGCTAGTTGTGTGCTCAGCCAGACAGTTACACCCCTAGACCTTCCTTTCCCTTGCTTTTTTTTTTTTTTTTTTTTTTTTTTTAGTCTATAGGGTCTTTTTTTTTTAATTAGTGCATGTTAACATTACAGAATGCAAGCTGAAATCCCAGAACTTGGGAAGCTGAGGCAGGAGGATTGCTGCAAACCGGAGGCTGGCCTGACTACACAGTGAGCTCAAGGCCAGCCTAAACTGCATAGTGAAACTCTGTCTCAAAAAGACAAACCAAACCAAAACCCAACATCACATTATGGAGAATGGTAGTTTGTTTGGGGAAATTAGCACATGCATTGAATCTTGATCATCTTCAATACCATTACAACCCTCCTCCCTTTCTCCTCCCTCCATGTCTCCAAAAGACTACCGCCTGGTATCCTGTCATCTTTCCTTCATTTACTTGTTTATTAATTTGTATATTTTTAGGTTTCTGATATGAGGAATGAAATACAAATTTAAAGCTTTTGAATCTGGCTAGTTATACGTCATAACATGCTGTCTAGTTCTATCTATTCTCCCGCAAGCAACTGGATTTCATGCTTCTTTCTGGACACTACTCCATCACACTTCCACTGTCGTGTTTTCCTTATCCATTCATTGGCTGACTGACACCTAGGCTGTTTCCACAGCTTAGCGAAGGTGCATGGTGCTGCAATACGTATGGACGTGCATCTATCATTACACGGAGTCCTTAATTCTTTGGAATATGTCCAACGGTGGACCTTCCTGTATCATTGGTGGAAATATAAACTAGTACAGCCATTAAGGGCTGGCCAGATAGCTCAGCAGACTAAAGCACCTGCTGAGGCAGAGCATAGCAGCCAGGGTTTGACCCCCAGTGTGCCATGCCTGCCCCACCCCTGGAGCTCACTGAGATGTCGATTGAGACTGGGCGTGGTGGCACGTGCCTGTAATCCCAGTGCTTGGGAGGATGAACACAGGAGGATCACTACGAGTCCCATCTGTGTAGTGAGACACTGTAAACTCTGTACGAAATAAAATAAAATAAAATAAAATAAAATAAAATAAAATAAAATAAAATAGTAAACTCGTATAACCATTATAGAATCAGTATGGAAATTCCTCAAGAAACTAAACATAAAAGTATGACTTGATCCAGTTATGCCTCTCCCTACCCCTACCCCACACTCACAGTCTCCTAGCCTCTCCATGCTCAGCTCCAGGGTCTTTTCCACACAGATCCTTTCTCCCCTATGCACTCTGTGCTGAGTCTTGATCCTATAATCAGGCCCTTCTTTGGTGTTTAGACTCCTAACAACCCTCACAACTCCCCCCGCCCATTCCACCCCTTCTTCTCAGCTGAGCTTCCTAGAACCCAAGGTGATGCTCCTGGACATTCAGCAAGGCAGTGTTTCTCAGACTTTAAGAAAAATACCCATAATCCACAGCCAGATCCATGATAAGGCATCACAATTTCTCAGAGATACCTTATCATCAATGTATCCATGGTTGACGTGAAGTCTGTCTTTAGGGATGGGCTGCATTATGACCTTTTCCTCTTTCTTGTTTACCTCCACTCTGCTTGAGTGAATCTTATTCTTTTGCACTAAAAGAACAAAAGTTGGTCTATAGTGATTTTGCTCTCTGGTGATGGAAAAGTTGTCATTTGAAAAATCTGCAATAAAGTCTTTGTGGACAGGAACTATACTACAGAGTTTTATATGACAGCTGCTCAATAGATATTTATTTGATTAAAGAGATGTCACTGCTACTAATGATTACGAACAAGGCACACAACAGAAGACTTGTACTGGGTTAATATCATCCCTTCTATTGTGGACTGATCAGGTCCACAATCTCCCAAATGAGTGGATGGTGAAGGCCAATAAAAGAGATAAATGGTGTGATTTCAGGGCTCCAGGAGGATCAAAACTCTCTCATAGAATCTGAGATTCTCTAGGGGCTAAGACCAAGACCTTCTCTGGGTGGCTTGTATTTATTTAGTTGTCAGAAGAGAGTGGAGTACTCAAGAAGGGCTGAATGCTCAAGGACTTCTCCAAGTAAGGCATCTTGTTACCTTAGGAGAGCTCTGTTAACTCCAGGAAAGTCTCCATCCGGGATCAAGATGCCTGAGGCTACAGTCTTTATCTAGTAGAGGTTGGACCCAGCTATGGCCTTGTCTTGCCCTTTGTGGCCTCATGGCTTCACCCACCACCCCAGGCCTCAGTAGGGACCAGTGACTCACAGAGGTTCACTTACTATGAATCCACTGCCCATCTCTGGACAAGGGGCCTAGGACTTGGACAGACTCACAAGTCAACATGGAAAGCCAATAGGTTAATTAAAGTCCTGCTTGGAGCTGCTTCGTAGTGGTCTCTATCAGACCTGGCTTTCCTGCATTGTCAAATGAATCTTAACTGGAGATGAGGGTATGATTCCCAAGGCTACACAAAGAAAATGTGGAGAAACATAGGATTGTGGGGCAATGAGTGGACTGTGGAGCCTGAATGGGTATATTTAATATTATACCTTTATATCAGGAATACAAAAATACCTGTTAATTTTGTATATATGCTGCAAAAGTGAGTACTACCCTTTGTTTTACAGGTTAAAACAGCTTGACAAAAAAGAGGTCAGAGACATGTGAAAACAAAGCCTATGAGACAGTCTCATGCTTAAACTCTCATGCTTAAACTGCATGTGGGAAGGAGAAAAGACACCAGAGTAAGAATCAAGTGACAAAAATCAACTCTGACTTTTGGGCTCTGGACTTAGCAATTCCAAGAAAAGCTGATGCTTCCTGAGAGCTCTTTCTAGCACATGGGTCTGTGAGCTCAGCAGAAAATTCCAGAACTCTCCTCTTGCTTAACGTCTCCTCCTTGCAAGGTCGCAAATTCTAGAAATGTTACTGACCCCGTGAATCAACAAGCAGATCTAAAGTTCACCTCCTCCAAGCCATTTAACAAAGAGGAAATAAGTAACCAGGCGGGTTGGATTGCTCAAGATGCCGCAGCTACTGCAGGGCAGAACCGGAATGAGGATTTGCGATCCCAAACTGCATTCTGGTGGCGCAAGACTCTTGACAACTGTGCGGGCAGACTGAGCACCGAACACGTCTCCTTGGTCACTGTGTCCGTTGAAGAAACATTAGAATGCCTGTGTCACGCTCAAGACGGAGATCTGAATCATTTTATGCAGAAACGTCTCGTCCAAGTGGGGCTGCCAACCACAAGCACTTAGTGAAGAAGGAGCCAGCTGGCTCTTCTCTTTGGTCTTTCCTTTTTTAATGCATTCAACCAACAAGTCCTCAGTTCTGGTGTGTGTGAGCCTTGTGCCAGGGACTAAAATACACAGCTGAAGGAAATGGTTTCTGACATCAGAAAAGGCCCAGTCTCTTAGGGGAGGGAGCCGGGGAAACAGGTGGTCACTGGGAAGGAGGAGAAGTGCCAGGGTGGTGTGGGACAGAGGAAAGGAACGACTTAGGCCTGCTCGGGACCTTCATGTGTGGGTATGATTATATGTTTGGGCAGGTCACACAGATCCCTGGGTGTCTGGCCATTGTTTCATGGATTCATTAAATAAACAGGATTGCAAACTTCTGCCAGATGCTACAGACTTGGAGATTCATATGACATGAAGAATAAGGAGGGTTGGTGGAAGAAATACACAGATGATTATTATACAATACAGTAGGTGCTGATTGTTTAGGGAAGGGATTCCAGGTGGCAAGGCTCATAGGGGTAAAATAGGAGAAGTCAAGGACAGAATGATAAATGTGAAGAACACAAGGAGTCCTTGAGGCTGGAGCCAAGATGGGGCTCTCCAGGGGCCAGATTCCAATGGGACTCTGGGATGTCGCAGGATGTGGACTTTGTAGCCATCAGTCCAATCATGGTGGTCTGACAGTGGGCCAGTTTCATCTCTAAATAAGTTCAATTGAGTTTTGTGATCTACACTGG